CCTATAATCCCAGAACACAAGAGGCTGAATCAGAAGCATCTTGAGAAAGAACCCAACTTACATTACTTAATGAAATTGTGAAATAGAAAATTAATCTTCTAACGGGGAGAAAAGTGACCATTGAGCACCTCTTCATTCGCTTCCTGCCTGTCCAGCTCTTCAGTTCATAGACTTTGCTCATGTTTCCTGTTGGTGGTCAAGAACTCTTGGTAGGTCATAAATAATTGACTGTGCGTTAGTTTAAGTCAGTGCAAACTTTGACACAAAGCCACCAGTCCATCTAGAATCTACTCTTGTAGATGTAGTGCTAAGTCAACTAGCTGTTCTGTTTTTTATCCAAACAGAAGCCAGTGTTCCCAACACCATTTGTGCAATAACTAACCCCCACTTACAGTCAAATGTGCATGGTGTGTTGTATATTAACTTCCCATACACATATGAATCAATCTCTGGGTAAATGCAACTAGGTAAAACCTCATAAATGATGAATTAGAAAGTATGGCTAGGATTGGATGCTACCCTTGAGGACTTATCTTCCCCACTTAGGCCACTCAGGCTCAACCAGTCTCTTCTGGAATCAGTCTCACAGACACATCCAAAATGATGCTTCAACAATTCCCAAGGTATTCCTTCATCAGGCAAGTTGACACCTAAAGTCATCTGTGTCATGCACGGCCATTTGATCGCTGTTTCTCCCTTGGTGACCACAGTCTTCACAAAGGCAGCATCTGTCTATTTGATCTCACATTAGCACTGAAGAATCCAGACCAGACTCTAGCTCACAGTCTATGTGCAAATCCTATCTTCTGAATACGAGGAAAGAATGAAAAAGAAAGGGAGGGAAGGAAGAAGGAGGGAGTCAATGGATAAGCCCACTAAGATACCAATGATCACTTAATGAAAGAAAGGGTAGATCAGTAGAGTTGAGAGGCTGGGGACATAAAGACACAAAGCCAGTGGAATGTCAACCGAGGAAGTAAAAGATCCCGCCTACCAGAGCCATCAATCTTTGCAACTTTGCCTGCATCAGATCAGTTACCAACAACCAGGAGCATTCTCCAGACACTCCCAGCTCATTGCTTCTCAAATGCACTATAGGGATGTCTGGGGACCAGACATCAGTGGGAACTGCCCAGGGTGCAACAGAGACACCAGTCTAGTGAGCCCTTTGTACAGTGCCCTGGCACCCGCCAGGCAGAATGGAGTGCAAGACCACCCACCAACATCCCCTGGTGTTCAGGTGTTGAAAATACAGTGTGTGACTTTTTCTAGGTTCTCATTTTCAAAATCCCAAAATATTGGGACCCAAAAAGACTCTAAAAGTGTAAGTATCCATAGATACTTGCATAATGGCAATTATAAAACTAATAATACAAATCAACATATTACCTCTCTGTCAGGCACAATGCAAAACTCTTGATTCATTTAATGCCCTCTGCAGTTCTATCACATTGTTATATCTCTATATGACACACGTAGCGGGCAAAATTTAAATACAAGGACCACATCTTGGTAAACTGTGAGATCAGTTTGCGCCTGGTGTCCCTGCTTAGGAAACTCCAGCTCTACTGATGTAGCTGAATCAGGATGGAATTGCAAGCCTCTGTGACTGGAAACCAACTCCCTCCTCTTCGTTTGTTCCACTCAGGGACACATATGACCCTTAGAAATCCCCTTCAAGGGAGACCTTCAAAGTTGGGCACTCTCTGGTTCCTGCAATCTGTTTTTAAGGACATAGTTGTTGCTACTTCTTCTTTACACAGCCAGGGAAGGGGAGGAAGACTTCCAACCAGGCTAGCTCCTTAACAGTAATCGTCTAACATGGAGACTGGTGTCCCAGGCTTACTATTATAGTCTGGAAGGTTTAATCATTTCAAAAGATATCTGATGATTTAATTATTGATATTCCCTTAACCATTTCTTTAATTGTATGAATTTGGAAAAGAAAGACCAATTTTATTTATTTTGAAAATGTCTTTCTTAGGAGTGATTATGTAAAGAAATAAACCCAATTCTTTTCTTATTTTTAATTTTCTCTCTTAAACCATATGGGTTGGGCTTGAGAGACAGTTCAGAAGATGAAAATGTTTGTCACGCAATCCTATTAACCTGAGTCCAGTCCCCAGAACCCAGAGGGGAAGAGGGAAACTGAGTCCTGAAAGTTGCCCTCTGACCTCCACATCCATGTCATGGCATGTGTATACACACATACATACATCACATGTGCAGACATGCAGACATCATACACACATACACACGTGTACACACACATGTACACACTGAAAAGGGAAGATTGAGAAAAACTGAAATTTAAAATCTATCAGTCCTAAGTAAGTAAATGTGCAAAAATAAAAAAAAATAAAAAATAAAAAAAAAAAAAACTTCCCAATAACATTCCCTGCTGGTTTGTCAGCCTAACCCGGCTCAACAGTCAAGGTCACGCCCAGCCTTGGGGAGCTGCTGCCTCCTGCCTTCAGTCTACTTGTGTGGTCTGTGGTGGTTGTGCAGGAGGGGACCACAGTGACTAGCAATGAGCCACCTCCCTCATAGCAGCTCCAACACAGGGGTGGAGGAGAAGACAACGCGACATAATCATTTTCACTCTGAGCAGAGTAAAGCAAGTCGGCAGACAGCGTGCGGGCTCTCCGATTAGTTCCACGCCATCTTGGGCTTCCCAGAGCGACCCAAAGCAGAGCAGGCCCAGGTGGATTCAGTCATAACTGCTTTCCTTTTCAAATCAGAGCAGATGGGTTTGCACAGGAGAACAGGAGATGAGATCGCCTTTATCTGATGTTTCCACCATAAAAAAAAAATAAACGAGGAGACAGACATGCTTATCAAAACATCTCATGGCATGCCACGACGGTGTTGGATTTTAGTGTTAACTAAAAACAAAAGGTAATTTTTTATTAAGAAAAATTTTCATATCAATCAAAGATCCCCCTCCTCCCGCCCCTGCAGCCTCCCCTTCCCAACCCATCCCCCATTCCCTCCTACAAGAAGGTGAGGCCTCGCATGGGGAAGTACAACAAAAGATAATTTTAACAAAGATTTTTCAAAGACTATGAAAACCGTACTGCTGATCACATAACACGGAATCTCTCCATCAGCAAATGAATCACTTTCTTATGATCATCATTGTTATTGGCCAGTAACTTATATAACACTTCAGTCAGTTTATATATTTTATATCTGGGTTGTTTTGTTTTGTTTTGTTTTTTCCTTGAGCAAACTAGCTAAAATCACCATAAGCATCATGACTGATGAGTGTTCAGACCCTAAAACCTGGGTGAGCATGAACTTACTCCTTAGCCTCCGGGGCTGATATTCCTGAGCACAGAAGGTGCCAATCATTGGTCCTGAGGCACCAGGGTGATCTGTAACGGCATGCACTGGTGTCAGATGAGAGAACATTTCCGGTGACAGAAGAACCGAAAGGGTGCTGCTGAAATCCATTGCACCCTCGCAGCCCCGGGGAACCAGGCCCATCATGGTGCAAACGAAGCAGGGAGGCAGCTATAGCCTCTAAATGCATGGAAATGGGGGGGAAGACAGAGTACATGTGACTGTTAATGAGGTATACAGACCTGGGAGGAAATGGGGGAAAGACAGAGTACGTGTGCCTGTTAATGAGGTATACAGACCTGGGTGGGGGGAGATAGGGGGATGGAAATGCCAGCTATGCAGGCTGTAGTCGTCCTCACCAATGAGGTCACGTCAACTAGTAGAGCTGACTCACAGCTCCTTCCACATTTCTCTCTTCCGGTCTCCCACTACCTGTCCACAGCTCCCAGGGCATCTGGGAGCACAGGAGAGAGAGGGGGGGCCTCCCTAAAAACTTTCAGATCACCCTGAGCCTGTGTCTTGGTCACTAACAGCACTGTCATTTGCAAAACTAATCATGTATCTCATTCAATTAACGCATGCCTCAGTCCTCCTGAGGTTAACATGATTAAAAGAAATGCCAGAAGCCTGGCCCCACGAATATGAATGAGTCCAGCTCTCAGTCTGTGACCACCCCTCCCTCCCTCGGTGCTAAAGCAGTCAGATGAATGAATGCACCTCAGCGCTTGGGTTCCTGTTCAGCACAAAGACTCACGATGGGATAAAGAAGGAGCAGGAGTTGCAAAGAGGAAGAGGGTTGAAGGGTCAGCCATCTGCTCCACACCGACTCTGACGAACCCAGGCCATCAGACAGCTCGTGGGACAGGCAAGGCCCACTTTGGCCAACGTTAAGAATCCCTCGACTTTCTTCTTTTTGAGGTTGACGGCTCAAGCCTGGGTCATTAGTCCCAGACAAATTCAAAAGCATATGAGCTTTCTCCTTAAAACAAGAGAACATTGGCCTCTCGATTTATTTGCCACCCACAAAGCACAAACAATTTCACTTAAAATTTTTTTTCTGTTCAGTTTATTCTGTAGCTCAGTGGTCTCTGTTATGTTGTTGCTGGCTTGCTAGGGATCGAACCGAGGACCGTGTATATGCTAAGCAAGCACTCTGTCACTGAGCTACATCTCCTGCTTCTTAACCTTTGTTTTGGAACAGCATCTCAATTGGTAGCCCGTTCTGGCCTTGAACTCCAGTCTTCCTACCTTAGCCTCCCGAGTTGCTTCTCTTGGAGGTGAGCTGCTCAGGCCTGAGTGTCTAGCACTAAGGGAATCTGAAAGCACTCGAGCTTTCTCCTTAAAGCAAGAAACTTACAGGCATGCACCACTGTACCCGGCTCCATTTCTTAAGTAAATAGAACAGACATAGGTCCATAGCAAAATGTACTTTTAAACTTTCTTAAAAATGCAACTTCTAATAAGTTCAGACCAGTTCTTAATCTAAATGAGCCTCATCCAAAAGAAAAGATATCAGTTCATAATTGAATGTTAGTTGGCATAAACGGGTGACCTGACTTAGGGGTTAAGGCAGAGGCAGAGGGATTAATGGCCATCTATGGCCTTTATTGCTTGTTCTTCTGAACCTGTTATTTCTGTTGGAGAAGAACATCAACTAAAGGAAGTGATAACATCAGACGCAGACATTCATTCTTAGGAATCCATCAATCTGGAGGTAAATGCTCATGTCCCGCATCATGCTGAGCCCAGGGACAGAGGTAAACACAGTAATGCACCCAGACGCTTTGCTGTCTGGTAGGACATGAAGCATGGCTACCCCTGCGATTGGCTAACATGGTTCTGGGAGAAACTTTGACCCAAGCATGGGGAGTGGCTTTCACGTCACTAAAGAGGGAAGAGAGAATGCCCAGCCTCAGAGGTAAGGATAGGCCTTAAGAAAGAAAAGAATATCTTGTCAGCTCCTCCTGCCCTAGAAAAACCTGGGCGGCCTTTATTTAAATTAATTTGCACATCACAATTGAGAATGATTTTTAAGAAATAATATCCTTACATAATGATGTCCTTTGACCACAAGTCTTTTCCTATGGCTTCATAGGGACTAAGAATGGAGTGTTTGTATCCAGATTTTGGCTGGACACAGCCTAGGCCCTTCACTTCATAATCTGTGTATTGGTTCCACTTCTGTTGCTGTAACAAAATACTTGAAGCTGAGTTGTGTATAAAGAAGTTCATTTGGCTCATAGTTTTGAAGGATAAAAGGCCAAGAACAGGGGACCTCATTGGTTCAGTCTCTAGTGAGGATATGGCAGAAATACACACAAGAGTGATTATCTGGTAACAGAAAGGCAGAGAATAGGCAAGTTCAGTTTTGCTCATGTTTTAACAACTCATTCTCATGGGACCCGGTCACGGTCCCGTGTGTACTCCATTAATCCCTTCCAAGACCAATGTTCCCACAATGACCTAATTACCTCAGTTCTCATATTGCTACTGAGTACCCAGGACCCAGCACAAATCTTTAGGTGACACATTCAGACCACAGTAGTCCCCATGGGTAAAGTCAGTTCAGCTTGCCAACACTCTAGGCTGCAGCTGACATATCCCAAATGACAAAGCCTTGTAGAGGGCAGTGTCAACCAATCAGCAACATCTAGAGGATTCAGCTGGCTCATTTCACTGGCTGCTGGTGAGTTAACACTGAAGAGACCTTGTGGTCAGCCAGAGGGTCATATGATCAGTGAGTCTGTCAGAAGCAGAGAAGAAAAAGGTCTTTTTGACCTTTCTCCTTGTGTCCCTGTGTGCAGCTCTGATTTGCCCAGTTCAGTCCTGAACATCAGGCTCTTCTTCCTGGCAAGATGATGCCCAAAAGGCATCAAAGAATAACAGACTTGCAGAGATACCATAATCAGAAGGAAGAGAGTGTGTCGTGCACCCATTACTGACCACTTATACTCACCTGCTCCAGCTCTGTCCTCCCCCACATTCCTTCTAAGCTATGATGAACTGACAGCGCCTCTTTTTTTAAGTCTCACCTCTTGCATCATCCCTGTCCTCTGCTCTCTGCACCCTGGAGCTGCTAGCTAAGTGTCAGTTGCTTCTTTCCACTCAAAAACTGCATTCACCCTAGAAACCTTGGCCCTCATCAACAATGGTCAATTCTGCATCTCTGGAGGCTGGGTTCCCACTTAGAGTCTTAGTAAGGATGCCCTTCTATACCATATCTCCCCATTAAGAATTCAAATAAATTTTGTTTGGAGAATATTTTTTTCTTCAAATAGTTACTCAAGGAAAGACATGAGTGAGGTCTGAAAAGGAGTGGGTAGGGTGATCTGAGCTCCATTTTTGACTCTCAGACTCCACAATGTTCTGAGGGCACTGAAGGTTCCCAACTCCTCCCAGGACCCAAGTTTTTCTCAGTCTTGTTTCTGTTTACGCCTGTGCACAGGTATCCGGATGCTGGACCAGCCCTTTATGACAGACATCATCGAGGCCTCCTCCATCAGTCACATGCCTCAAATGATAGACATCTACAGTGCAAGCTGGGGCCCCACAGACAATGGGAAGACAGTTGATGGGCCCCGAGAGCTCACGCTCCAGGCCATGGCTGATGGTGTGAACAAGGTAAAGACATCCTGGTCACCACAAGGCCCCAGTCCACCCATGAGGTAGGACATGGAGGGTGAAGTGGTGGTGACAATACAGTGGACAAAGTGGCAGGGTGGGGTCAAATGTTAATTTAGACCCTGTGGAAGGTAGGCACAGAGTTGGGTTTAGTGGTGCAAGAGGTGCATGGGAGGAAATTCCAAGCAACCGTAATGTGAATGAGAGGCAATGGAGTCATAGAAGGTTAGTCAGGAATGAGACCTGACCTTTGTGATGGGGACAGAGGAGAAAGTTTGCAGAAGGCTCTGAGACTGTAGTCCCACTCAGAAGAAGTTTCTGCTGAGTTGGCAGGTTGTCTTCATGTGAAGTCACCCATGCAGGGCAGAAATGGGCCAGCACTGGCATCCTCATGACATGCTCAGTGGAAAACCAGAAGCAGTCTACAAGCTGTGGGGTCTCTGCCCACACTGGATGGTGGATCCAGGAGTAGCAGCTTCCAAGCGAAGCCTCAGTGCTTCTATGGGAGGAGGTCTGAGCAATGAATTTTGTGGCCATTGATTTCTGATAGTAGCTCAGCAATGGACAGTACCAAAGAGAAGGCACCAAGCTGGAGCCTCCAAAAGGAGAGGAACCAGGAGACACAGCTTCATATTTAACAAAGGGATGCTCCCTCAAATTACAGGGCAGGGGTCACCTAGACAGAACACAAGCCAGGTTCAGAGAGCACAGCATTCCTGGGCCAAGACCCCATTCCAATCCCTAGTACCCAAGAACCTGTCAACAAGTGATTTCGCCCAGCCTAGCCTGCTTTGTTGGCTAAAAAATAGTCATATGTGGAATCCTTCAAGGGGTTGGGATCATTATGAGATGTATATTTGGTAAAATATGGTCATAGCACCGGGAGATGCCCACAGTTCCATGAACTGCTGACCCTCAGTCAACTACCCTAAGACCTCATGGCATGAACACAGCCTCTGGAGATGTTGTGGGTTATATCGACCAGGAGTTCAGAGAAGGTATATTGGGGGTGCCCTAGTTTTCTCCGGATTCCTAGGGCCTGAAGTGCCATAGTACTTGTGGTTTGAGCATCAGTTCCCAAACTGTCTTCACCAGCTTTCTTTGAATTGCTGAACTCAAAGCATGGCCACTGGCAAGCCTTGGAGAGGAAGGTGGTGGGAAGTGCCATGGCTCAGCCTAGCCTGCCTGCTGTAGCCAATACTTCATTTGAACAAGATTCTGTCAAGGGCTGAGGGGTGTTGCTGTCAATGACTTGAGAATCCATGTCTCATAACCCTGAGATACTAAGACCCCAAAATAGCACTTTCAACAAGCACACTAAACAGAAAGGGCATGGCAGCCACTTACATTCTGGGAGCAGCAGGGTCATATGGATGTCTGGTGACCAAACTGTATGTCCTGCTTAATCTCAGTGCTGCAGGAGCAGACATCCAGGTAGCTCAGCTGAAGGGCATCCTTTGATGAGGCAGGAGTGACTGGGGTAATGGGGTGATTCAGGCAGGTCCTCACATTGCTGAGGGAGAGTTGGGCCTCCTGGGTCCCAGATAGCTACAAGATGTACAGAAACCCACACTAGCACTCTTCAGACCAGATGTTCGACCACCTCACACCTGTTTTCCTTGGCTTCAGAACTCATTCTCTTCAGTCCTTTCTTCTTTCTTGGGACATGTGTTCAGGTTGTGGAGACAACCCCTTCCCATCCTTGCTTGTCACAACCTGCAGCTTCTGTCCTACTTGTCTACACTGCTTCCAGGGAAAATTTGGCCCCAAATTAGGAGACACGACTTCCCAAGCCCAGGCTTCAAAAATAATGTGGTTCTGTCTAAAAGGCTCAGAATCTGAAGGGACCAAGGACAGTGACGTTTCTAACACCATTTTCTCTTCTGCTTGGGACAACTCACAATGGTGCATATTTGGCCTTCCTCGCCCTCTAAAGGAGAAGTCTCTCGGGTGCTGTTGAATTCTGCAAAAGATCGGAACAGAAATATAAGACCATATGTACCTCTCTGTTACAGGGTTGAATCATGTGCCCAATTCCTCCTCTTGAAGTCTTAACCCTAGGTGTCTCAGAGTATAGCCTAATTTGAAATTCAGGTCATTGCAGACATAATTAGTTAAGATGAAGGCATGTTGAGTGGGTCAGGCTCCTAAGCCAGTATGATAAGAATAAAAATCCTTAATTATTAGTGAAAATGGCAGTGTTTGCCCACAGACATGTTCAAAGGGAGAATGTTGCACAAAAATGAAGACAAAGCTCCCAGAACCCACGTGCAAGCCAAGTAATATCAAGATGCTAGGAAATCACCAGAGACTAGGGAAGGGTTTGGAAGAGCCTTCCTCCAAGGTCTGGAGAGGAAGCAATTCAGCTGACACTTCAGTCTCAGACAACTAGATTCCAGGGGATTCCAGAGCAGCTAGGCAATTAATTTCTGGTGTTTAGAACACCCTGTTTGTGTTACTTTGTTACAGTAGTCCTATAAAATTAATGCACCTTTCCTATCTTAGAACTGACAGTCAGAAAGGGGATTACGCCAGACTCTGTAATTGTGGAAAGACCTGGTCACTGCTCCAGGTCATCTTGATATCTTTTGGCTGTCTCTTTTATAGGCAAGATAGTTGATCACTGGTTCAATGACAGTATTTTTTTCTTCTCTTTCACAAACTCAAAAGACCATCTTCCTTCATTCTGTATAATAGTTAAAGAGTAAGCATTCAAAAATCCACAGAAAACTACAACCAACCAAAATACAGAGTTGTGGAGCCTAGTCCTGATGGACACATCTACAAAACACTCCCACATCTACGGTTCGGAGATCACTGTAGAAGAGGGGGCGGAAAGACTGTAAGAGAAAGAGAGGATTGGGAAGTTTGTCGTGAGACTGTCTCCTAGTAACATCAGAACCTCCACCCATAAAGTCTCACCAACATACTGCCTAAACATGAGCTGAACAAGAATGACACCAATAGAATTGCCAACGTGGATAGGGGATTGTTGCAATTTAATCTTAACGACAGAAATGTTCCTGTATGGCCAGTGCTGTGACGGAGCTGCTCCTGATGACATCACACTGATAGCTTGAAATCGGGTATGGAAGTTGGCAAACAGAGCATATACATCCCCCTGCAGAGAGCTTGTTGTTCACCAACACACACTTGGTTTTCCTTCTGTCTTAGAAGTTGCATACCCCATAGTCTCCTTTAAGCAGAGACAGCCTTGCCCTAGTGAGGCTGAAAGTTCCCTTTGGGAGGATAAAACTGGAATAAAAGCACCTGAACCCCTGAATCACGTGTTCATGCAAAATGACAAGTTTTTCAACCTGAGTCACTACTTATCCTGTGACCATGGAGGACAGCTTTGCTAAGTAAGCCGTGACCTCACTCCACAGGAGAGCTGTCTCCCTTACATTCAGTACAAGTTTCAAGAGACACAGAGTCCTGGAAGTGAACGGCTTCATGCCATCCACTAGATATCAGTTCCTACACTTGGGTGGAGCCTGGTGGGAAACTCACAAAATGTCCTGTAACAAGGCTGTGGCAATCTGCTGTTGAAATTGAGCCAACCCGAATCAGTGTGGAGGACCCTGACATTAGAATGGCACAAGGCAAAGGCCGACAGATGAGAACTGGTTTCAGAAGGTGGTGTCGATGCCCTGTTTCACATACCCAAGGCTGGAACTCTTGACACATCAGCAGCTTGCTTTCTTGACAAGTGATTCACCGCATGGTTGAAAAAAAGTAGGCACCCAACCCAGGGCCAGACAGCAGGAGCCTAGGGGAGCATCCGGCAGGTGTCATTTCTCCAGCAGACATGGCACCTGAAGCTGGAAGAATCAGGCCAGTATGTGACAAGTGCCCTCTGTCCACATTTGCAATGCAGATGCACTGGAAACAAGGCATCCCTGGGTGGCTCCTGTCACTGCTGTGCTTCCGAAAGTCACATCTCAGAGCTGGATCGCTCTCTCTGCTCCTGTATCCGTAACTTCCCCGACTCCACCTGAAAGGCCTTTTCAAGTGCAATGCTTCTGCAAAACGTGCCAAGATTGCTGAAAAGCAAGAGAAAAATCTTCATGACTTACCTTCAGACAACAGCATGCAAACATTTTGAAGAGGAAAGTGCACGATGTGGTGGGAAATATGTGTCTTCTCATTTGGCTTTTCCCCAGCCTCTGGGAACAAGGCTTTGTTTCAAGATAACACTTTTTAAGACCGTTCAGAGAATTGTGTAAGTGACAGTATATTATACAGAAGCAAAGGGCTCCTTCTCATTAGTTCAGTTATCTGATTTACTCTAAAGAAAATCCCACCTAGGAAACATGGTATCCATCCACACACAGAAGTCTGACTGTTAGGCACACAGAGGCAATTCTTACATTTGTCTTTTAATATTAACACCCTGCATATAGGTTTTGTTTGACCAATATAATAACCATAAAAATGACGAGTAGAATAAAGAAGTGGGTAAGAGACCCTTAACAGTGCACATACTGTTTGCCATAGATTTTACCATTCCCAAGTTCCTAGCACCTGCTTCACACATACACCTCATTTACCTGGATCTATAGAAATGTCAGTTTGCCTCTTCCAAGTTTTTTTCAGTAAATTCTTGACTAGGCATCAGAGAACAGGCAAGACAGAAGGAAAGGGGCTGATGACCTGTGTTGGTGGTCAAGGGCTTTCCTGGCATGCATAGAGCTCTCTGGGTTGATCCCCCACATCAAAGGAAAAGAACAAATGGTTTCCCTGTGCCTTGCTGCAGCCTTGCCTCTTTAACTTGGTAGTATGCCTGTAGACTGGCCTGTAGGCAAGCCTTGCTGCATTTTCTCAATTAGTGACTGATATGGGAGGACCAAGCCCATTATAGGTGCTATACAAAAGCAGGCTGAGCAAGCCATGGAGAGCAAGCCAGTAAGCAGCACTCCTCCATGACCTCCAGCTTCCTGCCTTGAGTTCCTGCCCTGACTTCTCTGGAGGCTAGACTACAAAGTGTAAGCTGAAACAAAATCTTTCCTCCTTGGTCACTTTTGGTCATGGTGTTTATCACAGCGATAGAAACCTAACTGGGACACAGCCTTAGCTTGAGATCTCCCGAAAGCAAACTCTGAGACAAAGCTTGAGTTTAATATCTGAGCTGAACGTGAGTTCAAGTTCAGGATTTGAACTGATGTTATTTGGGAGGCAAAGGGAGTACCAGACATGAGCAGGGAGGTGTGATGAGAACCAGAGAAGGTCAGCTCAGGTTGTGTACTCAAGCCAGCCACCCCATGAGCAATTGAAATCATAGGATACTAGAAATACATGTAGACATACAGTAAAGGTATTCTGTTGGAGTGTAAAGGAGCTAAGACAGAAACCACTGAAAGAGATTTACTCCCAGGGTGGCAGGGCTCTACCGGTCAAAGCCAGAGGGCAGGTACACGGAGAAGCCTTCAGCCTCTTGGGAAATAGCCCTAAGTCAAAGAGATACCCACATTGACATTTGGAAATTCCCAAGCACAAGAGGTTCTGAGATCCAAGGGATCTAGGATGACACCATCTCCCATCTGTTATAGTCACAGGAGCAAAATCTAATCAGAGACTTGGAGTCATCGCTCTCCAGTAGAGCACTGGAGAGCATATGTTCACTATGTGGATGGACAGATGTGGTCCCTCCAAGGAAATGGATGAGGCAGCAGACAAACCACCAGAGAACACAGCATCATGTCTTCCAGCATCTTCTTTTCCTCTGGCAACCAGAAGAAAAATCCAGACAGCATGAGAGAACCTTGATGATGACCGAGGACTCATGAGGCTCTTCTCCCACACGCAGGGAAAACAGCCACCCAGGACAGCCTGGAACATTTTGACTGGCTCTAACGACTATATCTCAGCCCCTTATTAATCTCTTCTCAGGACTTCTACTAAAGAGAGCAAATAAGTTATGAGTAGTTAAAGACCCGCTGCAGGAATTCTCTGTGGTGCTGATGAGACTGAATGCTGATAGATCATCCTTGGGGCAGGTGGAAGATTGGGGGGCAGGGCACAAGTGTCAGGCTTCTGCACTAGAATATATGAAGATGATGAGCCACTTGCCAAGAGAGTGGCTCAAACACCACCATCCAGGAGCGGGGAGTAGCTGGCTGGGGAGAAAGTGATTAATCAGGTGTGGGTCAGGCAAAGCCCTGGTGCTGCTTGATGAAATTTAATCAGAGTGTGGGTCAGATACAGCGGCAGCAGTGCCAGGGCCTCAGCAGGCGATGGATGCCTCCTGCCACAGAGCACTCAGAGACACTGCTCCTGATTTATCCTCTGAAGGCCAATGAAGGTCATATTTGGGCAAGGGCTGCTTGGCATGAGGCCAGCAACTCAGCCTCTGCAGTGGTTCACATACTATTACAATTCTTCCTTTTGTTTCTGGGACAAAAAGAAATGGAAGAAGGCATAGGCTATAGGATCAAAAGAGTTCACAGTCATTTTCAGCAACATAAGGAGTTCAAGGCCAGCCTGGGCCACATGAACCCCTGTCAGAAAGGGTAGGTCTGCCTGTCATGTGCAAGACCCCAATCAATCCTCAGCACCATAAAAACAAAGATATTTTATATTGGCATTTATTATTTACAGATGTTAACACTATAGTCATTATAAAGATCAATCATATGGTTATGTAGATGAAGAATCTTCAAACATGCCTGCCTTCTCCTCGGAAATTCCTTCTTTTAGCAACTCCACCTAAGTAAATAGAGATAACAAAACATATAAAATTGCATTCATTTTAAAAATTGGAGGTTTTGAAAACTAGAAATAATCCTCTATGTATGACTAAAAAGGAGAGAATAAACTGCTAAATGCTTATTCAATAAGACTAATAAAACATAATATAAAATACTATTAATCACATAAGTAAATGTTAATTATATAATAGTAAAACTCATTTTTAAGCAGGCCAAGTAAAATGAATCTATTTTATCCCAGGTTCATTTCAGAAGCTATTCTAATACTTTGCCTCTCTATATAAAACTGTCAGGAATCCACAAAATCACACTAGGAATCATTTATTCACAGGTTATAAAGAATTTCTATTTTCCTCTCCATATGTATTTCAATTATTCTACATTACATGCAATTTTCACAATAAAAAGTTAAATAATTTTTTAAAGCATGTTAATGTACTAAGCTGCCAAGGTGAAAACCAGATGTGGTAGTACACCCCTGTAATCCCAGCATTTGAGAGGCTGGGGCAGGAGGATTTCTGTGAGTTCAAGGCCACAAGACCAGGGTAGGCTACAAAGTAAGGCCTTCCCTTTCATTCAGTGTCAGCTGCTCTGCAGCCCAGTGCCTGCCCATAGCCTCATTCATGCATTTGTGATGAACTGGAAGGTAAACTAGAGACTGGCTGGCACAAGGAAGCTCTTGCGTGGTCTGGGAGCGCTTGGCTATCAGCTGGGGCAGTGAATTTGGCTGGGCTCTTGACAGGCTAAGTCAGATTCATTGTCCTGTATAAGCAAGTTCTGAGACATGGCAGAGAGTACACGGTTCTTTAAGTCTTGGGCTTAGAATCTTTGTCCACTTAATGTCGCTCACATTTTGATGGTCAGATCAAGATATGAAGCCAGTCAGGATCCAAGGAATAGGAAAGAGACCCCCTTCTCCTCTTGAGCAAAACAGCAAAGTCACATTACAAAGGGTGTTGATACATGGGATTATGCAAGTAGAGGTCACAATGTCACCTCCTACACCAAGGTGCCTCCTTGTATCAAGGTTGCTTTGCTTACTGGCAGCCTGCTCAGGGCCTTGTAAGGGAGAGTTATCCCAGTATTAAGACCAGTCTGAACCTGAGCCTGTGACCCTCCATGCCAACATCAGAAACCATCTGTTTCCCTCTTTGTCCTGGTTTCCAAGAGCAGTTGCTTATTTTGATGGAGTCTTTCAGTTGTATAGATTTACCAAGAATCTGAAGACAATTCCCAGTTTGTGGTCAAACAACTGTCTGTGGACTTACTGACTCACTCAGTCACAGACTAATCAATTCCCAGTTTGTGGTCAGACAACTGTCTGTGGACTTACTGACTCACTCAGTCACAGACTAATCAATCCCCGGTCCTAGTAGAAGAAATTCCGAACGCCCTTGGAGGGCGACCAGGCCCTTGTTTCTCAATGACCTCTCCACCTTAAACCACTGGATCGGAACCACAGACCCCCGGTGGCCACACGGGGCTTTTTTCTGTCTTCCCCTACACACACTCTCCTTTTTCTTTCTCTCTCCCTCTCTCTCCCTGCCTCCCTCTTCCTTCCCCTTCCCTCTTCTCTTCCACGCCTCCCTTTAGAGCAGTGGTTCTCAACCTTCCTAATGCAGTGACCCTGTAACACAGTTCCTCATGTTGTGGTGACCCCCAAACATAAAATTGTTTTCATTGCTACTTCATAACTGTAATTTTGCTACTATACTGAATTGCAATGTAAATATCTGATATGTAGGATATCTGATATGTGACCCCCCCCCCACAAAGAGGCTGAGACCCACAGGTTGAGAACCACTCTTTCAGAGGGTCATCCAGCCACCCCGCACCAAGTTATGGAGAAAGGGGAGCTTGTACCCCTGCCCCTCACTTCCCACACTGCATGGCTACCCTTCTCTCCACTTTCCCACCCAGCCCTAGCCTCACTTCATTAAGGATAGCAGAGGAAAAAGTAAGAAGCAAGCGGCCTAATCCTGAGTAAGGCAGACAAGGGACTACTCACAGAGGGAGGGCAAGGGAAGATAAAAACACTAGGAGCAGGGATTGAACAGGAGCACTACTGACTCGAGTCATGTATAACACAGCTTGTCTTCTGTAACTAAGGACCAAATGGGATAACTACCATGCCATCCTCTTGAGTTCAGATGTCACTGGCTATTTGTTACTTCTCCACATTAGGCTTTATTCCTAGAGCTGGTCCCTTGCACATGTCAAACGGCATGTAGCATTTCCACTAGGATATATACACACATGTAAGATTTGTATATCATACTGGTTAAAGATATACTTTGTTTCTATATCTACATATACATCTTACATAGTTTAATATAATCATAGCCCTGTACACTTAAATTTCACTGAATACTTACATGTAAAAATAAGATCACAATGATTGCCCCCGGGGAGTTTTAACTTTTCTTTTCTATATACTTTGATACTTTTTATAATGAGCATATACTACCTTTATAGCATTTTGAAAACCATTTCATTGGTAAATTTTAAGGCTTTTTAAAAATCAATTTATTGGTAAGTTTTAAAGCGATGTTCTAGCCTCTGTTAGCCTGCTATTCTCAGCTAAAATTACAAATTCTGGAGAGTATATTATATCGTTCTTGGAGAAGGGTCATTTCCACTATCTTCCATTGGATGAATGTAGTTTCCATCCCAGAAAAAAAAATGAAACTTCAGTTACTTGATTGCATAGAGGCATTAGCTCAAATCCTGACCCTCCCTAGGCCAGGACCTTACCTGGGCAGGAAACCCTCCCCCAACCCCAGGCCAGAACCCTGCGGCTCCTGGTTCCTCAATGTTGGACTTGAAACTACATCTTCCTTACTCTACCAGGGCCGTGGGGGCAAAGGCAGCATCTATGTGTGGGCCTCCGGGGATGGCGGCAGCTACGATGACTGCAATTGTGATGGTTATGCTTCAAGCATGTGGACGATCTCCATCAACTCAGCCATCAACGATGGCAGGACTGCCTTATATGATGAGAGCTGTTCTTCCACGTTAGCATCCACCTTCAGCAACGGAAGGAAGAGGAATCCCGAGGCTGGTGTGGTATGTGTGAGCTACTTCCTGTCCAGTTCCTTACAGCCAGGGGCCCCTCTGTGACAGACTGGTCTCTCAACTGCACCCTATTCCTTTTATAAGTTAGCACACCTTCTGAGAAGAACGTCCGATTTCTCCATATTGAATTGTGCTTAATCAAGGTGGAGACCAACACTTTGCAGATGGGAAGCAAGGTCATATGATGAACCTTTTCTAGTTTATTTTCCATAGATTTCTTTTGTATCTTCTTGCTTTGGCATACAAGTAATGATGTGCTCTGGTTTATCAATATTTCCCAGCATGTCACTTACAAGAAGAGGAATAACTGTAAGAACTGGGGCATCACATCACACCACAAGCCCCAAGAAAGCACCCCTGCGTTACAGCAGTTAGAAACACCACCAGGCTAGGAATGAGGCTGCAAGTGATAGAACTCTTGCCTTAGCATAGGCTCAACCTTAGGCTGGATCACCAGTACAGCAAAATAATAATAATAATAGTAACAATAATAATAATAGTGTCCATGGGTGGACTTCTCTGGCTCCTTAACCCTCCTAAGGGTGAGACCAGCTGTGTATTTTCTCAGGGGAAAAAGTATGATTTCTTCATATTATACAATAATTTTGTGACTTTAAAAACACATTAGGATTCACAGGGTTGTTTCTGTGTATCTCTCTATGTGTCTCTCTCTCTCTGTGTCTCTCTCTGTCTCTCTGTGTCTTTCTCCCCCACACACCCCCACACCCCGCCCAGGAAACCATCTTCCTTCCTGGGCAACCAGGTGCAATAGCAAACTTTCCCTCCTCTGCAGAGCACAGTAACACTTCGAGGATCTCTTCCTCTCTGGTTACTTTGCTCACATTCTGGTCCTCCAAGCCAGACATTTGGCATAGGATTTAAAGTCATGGATAGGCTACATCTTGACTGGTCACCTGCTGCCATTGGGACTTCCCCAGACAAGAGGACAGGAGCTTGAAACAAAGTCGTTCTTACCATGTAAGGTTTGAACTGCACATCCTCCTTTGGGTTCTCGTCCTTGGCCATACAGTCAGCCTTGCAGATGAGCAAGGGGAGGGGGACTTTTGCCTACAAGAGACACGGCCCTTAACAGCTACTCATCCCTCTGTGGCCCTCCTGGGTGGCCTTCTGAGATTAGAGAAGAGGACATGCCAGCTCCTAAGCAGAATGGGACTTCTGATCCATCCAGAGTCTAGCAGAAAGAAGCAAGGGACAGCAGCCTCCACCCTGTTGTTTATGGTACCTCGCTCTACCCTCTGGGAGTCCAGTCCCTTTCCCAGAGGCCCCAAGGGATGAGGTTTTTGTCTTCAGCCCTTATCTACGACACTTGCTCTACTTGGCTTGGGAAAGGTCCCTCTTTTGAATATTGTAATTTTCTCAGTAGACCATCTTTAAATCTTCCTAATCCTTTGTTCCTCAAAACAATAAGCTCTCCTGAGAACCCTGTAGAGGGAGAAGAATGTCTGTGGTTTATACGTGATCTCAATGAAAACTCAGCTCTCACAAATATTGAAAATGAAATCATTCTCACTGAAAAGTCCTTTAACGTTCAGTTATCCATGTATCCCCCAAATAAAGTAGGGGAGATAACCAGCACACACCAGGGTTTCTTGGAATCTTTTCAAAGTTTTAGATGGAGAGGAATATTTGTTTTCAATAACCTGCCCTTTCTAGGTAGAATAACCTGCCCTTTCTTTGGACATTTAGTCTTCTCACTTTGGGAATACCACCTTTTCCTTCTGGAAGAGAAAAGAAATGCTGATACAAGTCATGATTATCTCATGATGGACTCATGATGAGGAGTCCAAAAGCCAAGCCCAGTGCAACTCAATCCACCATCTACTGTTGACCACTCAGAACAGTTCAGATGAGATAAATAGATACTACCCTGATCCTCATTGTCTATGGTTCAAACAGTGTGGCTTGTTCATTCATTACTCAATGTCTTCTCTTCCAGGCCACCACAGACTTGTATGGCAACTGTACTCTGAGACATTCTGGGACATCTGCAGCTGCTCCTGAAGCAGCTGGCGTGTTTGCATTGGCATTAGAGGCTAAGTATGTTTCACCTCTGAGCTGGAGGCCATCTCTGAAGGGTAGACTAGTGTGTGCCTTTCCATCCACATGCCAGGTGTCCACAGAGACAGGAATGGATGTGAGAGCCTAGAAAGTCAGAGCTAATGAATTCTGCTAGACATAAAAGTCATAAGGCTCATGGTCCTTAAATGACACACAGTCATACACATACATTGTAAAAATATATACCTGAAAGAGCAGAAGGCTCCAACACCCACAATATGAATCAGCAACTTATTCACACACCAAAATACAGCGCACAAGTATGACTTCCTCTATGAAACCCTCCTTTATCTTCTGTCAGTTACACAGCTATTTTGCTCCACTAATACTCTCAGTCAGCTAAATGAAGAACTATTGAGATTGCTCTTGTGTGAGAAGAATCCACTTCTCTACACCAAAACAGAGCAGGTGGAGTTGGGCCGAATAGACCAAGAAATAGGTTCTACTGGGAAGCCCTCTAGGTGGCAGATAAGACGTCATTTCCTATGAGAGACCATATGTGGCTCCTCCTGGGTGTGGCTCAGATTTAAGCATCAGTGACGATACCTGCCAGGGTGCTGCTTACCTTCTCTGAGAAACCAGAGCCTGGACTTACATTCAAGGAATACACTTTGGCCCCCAGAAATCATGCTACTATGCACATGGGTTATATGGGGAGTTTAGAGGTTGGCTCACCCAGCAACTGGTGGGAAGTTAGATCCAGGCTTCCCAGGTAGAGAAGTTAAGTTCCCATCTTGTCTGCAGTTGCTAGGTAACCCCAGTTTCTAGCAGACTGGTCTGTCTGTCTCCGCATATTCAGTACATTCTCTGACCTGCAAAAGACCAGGCACAGTGCCGGCTTGAACTCTCAGTTCTCAGGAAACTGAAGCAGGGGAATATGGAATTTGAGGACAGCCTGGGCTACATAGAGAGACCCTGTCTCAAGAAAACAAAAACAGACGAAAGAGGGAAGCATTCACTCTCCCCTCTCTGTACCGGTCTAGACGTTGATTCTACCAGTCTAGATGTTGATTCTTCCAACAAAAGTCAGGTGGAAATTTCAGGACACCATGAGAGGAACACTGTTTAAACCTGACTATGAAGGACAGATACCTCTGCCCTCCTAAGCGCAGAAACCAAAACTCATTCATGTATGACAGGCATTATCAGAAGCTGAAACCATTCATCACACGGTCTGCACAGACCCTGGGATCTAATCTGGCTTTGCTCACTCAGCTGCAAGCCCAAATAAGAGTCTCTCTTCAGCCTTTCAACCTCAGTGGACAAGGTTTAGCTCAGTTCCTTGGGATTTGGGCAAGCAAAATGTCACTTGCCTGGGCCTGACACACACAAAATGGGCAACCTCGGTAAGCTGGAGTGGGGCAGGATGAGCCTACTGAAATCCTAAATGGATTCTCGGTTCTGCACGGACCAATTACCATCCTATCAGCACACATGCTTATCAAATGAGCTTTCCAAGAAAGCCCACCCAGAGCTTCTACTTATTTCTCATTGGCCAGAAATAGTCACAAGACCACCCCACGCTTCAAAGAAGGCTGATACATGTAGTGTTGCTGAGCATGTTGCTGTTCTGAATAAAATTGACATTCTATTTTTTCTTTTAATTTTTTAATTTGTGAGGTTATAATATAATCACACTGTCTCTCCCTTCCTTTTCCTCCCTCCAAACCTTTTCATACACCCCTCCCAATTCTCCTCCAAACACATAACCTCTTTTTTCATTAGTATTGCATGCATATATACATATGTATCCCTAAATATAAACTATTCAGTCTGTATAATGTTATTTGTATGTACGATTTCAGGACTGACCATTTGGTATTGGATAACCAATTGGTGTGCTCTTCCCTGGCACCTCTCCTACTTCCAGCTTCCCTCGGTTGCCTGTAGTTCTTTGTGTAGGGTTGAGGCCTCATGGGCTTTTCCCTGTCCAGTTTGGCATCCTTGTTCAGCTCATGTTTGGTCAGTCATGTTGGTGAGACTTTATGGGGGTAGCTTCTGACCTTGTTAGGAGACAGACTCTCACAGCAAATGCCCTGATCCTCTGGCCCTTACAGCCTTTTCATGCCCTTTTCCACAATGTTCCCTGAGCCTTAGATGTGGGAGTGTTTTGTAGATGTATCCATCAGGACTGAGCTCCACAACTCTGCATTTTGATTGGTTGTGTTTTCCTGTAGTGGTCTCCATCTGTTACAAAGAGGAATAAAAGAAGAAATGAAAAGAAAAAGAGACAATACCTGGTATTGTCCAGTGTCCATGTGGGCATTATCTTGTCCTGATTTCTGTTATATTATCCGCAAAATATTCAAAATCAGGCCACCCCCAAGGTTCAAATGACTTGCTAAATATCATTATCAATGCTATAACTGTTTTTTTTCCTAGCTTGCTTTGGTTACTGATAGCAAGCTCTTTCTTGAGTGCCCATACTGCATGAGATACTTTACACACATGATCTGGGTTACACACACAATCTACATTTACTCCTCAACAAACCTTCGAGACCTCTTCCCCACAGCAAACCGATGACGCTGGGACTCAGATGTGGAGGTAATTTACCCAAATTCCCACAATGGGATTCACACAAGCTCTTGGCTGCTCGAGTCCAAAGCTGGAGTTTTTCCCAGCCTGACTGCTGGGCCAGGCAGAGGCAGTGCCAGCATAGAATCAGTAGCAATCCCATGGAATTCCAACCTATCTGCCTGACATATTGTTTACCAACCCTTGATGATTAAAAGATGTTGCCAAGATCAAAAACCCCATCTCAAGCCCATGGTCTCTATCATCAGTGTGTGCAGGAGACATCTGGGACATCGTCTTACTCCTAATTCTCATGTTCGTAGCTTCGCGGATGCTGATTCAAAAGCTCTGGGAATCTACCTTTGACACTAGTACCCAGATGGGAGGCTTTGGGAGGCCTGAGAACCACAATGAAGCTCTCTGTCTGGGACATCTCAGGGCCTACACTGATGGCTCCTGAAGCAGCCTGAGCTCCTGTATCATGACAACTTGCACCGTTTCAATACTGAGTTACCCACCTGTCCCCTAAGCCATACACTCTGTGAAGGCAAGGAATTTCCTTTGACACGGCTATATATAATTAGCCCCAGTGCCTGGATGTGGTAGACACTCAATAGACATGTATGGAATATGTCATGTGCAGTACCTTTCCACCTAGTAGCCCAATCGCTTCACAGAACTGTGAAGAATGTGTCATGTTAGCTATCTATAGCTTCCAACACAACAGCCTTTAATACTGTAGATATTCTGCCCATTATTTAATAGCTGTTGCCTGTGCATCTTGAGCTGATATAGTAGGATTAAAGCTTAGGGCAAGTTAGTGAAATATCTATTTTATAGAACACTGTATTCTATCAATCCTGGAACTTCTCAGAGATGCAAATAGGAGGAACCCAACTTTATTTCACACATGTACATAAACAGCTAGCCCAGATAATGCCACACACAGAGTTAAATGAGTCTAGACTCTTCTCATTTATCTCAGAAGTGACAAGATCTCTGTTCTGCCCCACCCCCACCAGCCCACTCATGAGGAAAACTCCAGAGGAGCACGTGAGATGATCCTCCCCAGGGTGTCTGGGGAGGCACAACACCTCTGTATGGTAGACACGAAAGCCCCTCCACCTGCTGGCCTGCCTCTGGGTCCCTCGGATTCTCATTTGTCAACACTTCTGGCATTTAAAAACTCAGAATCCCATTCTAGAAAAACCTGGCAAGTTAGTCGCAACCAGCTTCTGGATGAGCCCAGTGTGCTCAGGAGCTTCCCAAATTCTCTGACCTGTCTTTGAACCTTCTCTGTTGAAGCTGCGGTTCAGTGTTGGGGGAGCATGTGGCTTACCAGAGCACTTTGGCTCTGATTCCAAGTTCCAAACCAATGACCTTTGAATGTGTTGAAATTTTGCCAAATGAATTGTATCATTCCTTGTCCTTTCAATTGTTTGGCTCCTGAAGAGAATCCTCGTCCTTTTGATTGATTGGCTTCTGAAGAGAACAGTAGTTCACAGGGGGCCTCCCTGCCTCCCCCCATGACTCTCAGTAAAAAGCTAATTCTGCATTACAACCCAGCACACCAACCCCAAATGTTTCATGGAAATACTAATATCCTTTTACATCGGTCCACCATCTTCCTTTTCTATTCTAATCTATCTTATCAATTAATGATTATTCATTTTTGAGATAGTCTCATTAGATATCCTCTCGCTCATCTCGGTCTTGTCTACTAGAATGCTCTGGGATTGCTAACAATCCCCAGCAGTTATTTCTCACACCCAGAGACTATGATTTAATTTGTCTGTGATGTGGACTGAGTGGAGGGATCACAAACGTCCCCAGAGAAAGTTTTAGTCTGCAGCCCAGGTAGATTGCCTGTACAGTGAGTTGTTTCCCTAGCTCACAAATAAGTCATGACTTGCACTTTTAAAAACTAACATTGAGCGGTAATGGACATTGGTTTCCAAAGACCATAGTGAACATCGTCAAGAGGCTGCCTTGTGCCTTGGGGATACAAATATGTTGAAGGTATTGTTCCTGCCTTAAACTGACAGCCTCATTTCAGACATGGAGTGCACCAGGTAGTGAGCACCCAGATTAAGAATTCACACACTGCAAGCACTAGAAAATGCATCCCCCCATTCCCTTTCAGCTGTGACTCCCAAAACTAATGCTAACCCAATTCCCAACAGCATAGATGAGTTGTTTCTGGTTTTATGCTTTAAATAAATGGAATCCTGTAGTATTTCCCTATAGGAGTTCATTTTCCCTTACTATAATAAAATCCCTGGTGCTAGGTATTTAATGAAGAAAAGAGGTTTATTTAGCTCACAATTTGGAACTGGAAGTCCAAGGTCAAGTGCCCCTTTTGTTTAGCCTCTTGTGAGGGCCATTCTGGTCATGGCAGGAGCAAGAGGTTGAGGAAGGACTCACATAACTAGACAGGAAGCCAGAGAATGGGAAAGGGCTGGGCTTGCTCCTTCGTAACCACATATACCATGGTTTGAGATAGTGCATGAACACCTTCCGTGAGTTAAGAGTTCACAGATATTCCAAACTCTCCTGGGGGGACATGTCCTGAGTGTTACTCACCTTAGTCGTTGTGATCTTCCTTTCTCGCTCTTATCTCCACTCTGCACTCTGCCTCCTGCAACCAGCCTGGATCTGACCTGGAGAGACATGCAACATCTGACTGTGCTCACCTCCAAGCGGAACCAGCTTCACGATGAGGTCCATCAGTGGCGACGGAATGGGGTTGGCCTGGAATTTAATCACCTCTTTGGCTACGGCGTCCTGGATGCAGGTGCCATGGTGAAAATGGCTAAAGACTGGAAAACGGTCCCTGAGAGATTCCATTGCGTGGGAGGCTCCGTGCAGAACCCTGAGTAAGTAGGGGCAGTACTTCTCCTGCCACATGTAGAAGGTACCCCCGTTTGTGATAATCCCAGGGTCCCTCTCCATGGCAGGAACCACCCTGGGTTTCATCTGGGACAACCAGCTTCTGGGAGAAGCTATAGAGATACACAACTGCAGAGGGACCATGACCCAGAACACAGTTGTGCAACTTAGAACCTATGTTGTAACCATTCCCATAGTTTATAGCATTATTTTTAGGTACACAGGTTGATCAGCCAATATAGCAAGCACGTAGACCAGTAATAAATATGACTAATGTCCCAGAGGCACCCTGTAATCCCTCATCATCTCCCCAAGAGCAATCACTATTCTAACTCCATAGACTGATTTGCCTAATCTATATTTAATATAAATGGAACCTATATTATGTTCTCTTTTATATCTATATTCTTATGAGGAAAATTGTATTTATGAGATTTGACCACATTCAAGGTATGTAGTTTATCTTGATTGTTGAAGAGTGATCCATTGTGGGACTACCACTATTGTTCACTCTTATCTGTGGGACAAGGGAAGGACTTGATTTTATTCTACATGAGGTGGGCTGTGATTTAGAGGGGTCTGAGTGAGTTCTCCACACAGAAGCCACTGATTGTGTCAAGTACAGCTACTCTTCATCCCATCTCCCTGCGTGACAAGAGAATTGGTCAGTAAAGAGACCACTTCATTTCATTTCTTTCTATCCTTATTACATATATACCATGAAAATCACACAATGTAAGTAAGTGTTGTTTGTGGGAGCAGGGTTAAAATAAGATATGACAGTGTAATATAAGCTGACTTGAGCTCCCAATTCTCCTGCCTCCAGAGTGCTGGGATTGCAGAGGTGTTCACCAGTATTATTTGAGTTTTTGATAAATATATGCAACTGGGAAACCATCACCCATTAGAAAGATAGCATATCCCATCCACCTGGAAAATGTCCCTTGTGTTCCCTTCCAATCAGGACACACACCGCACCAACAGCCACTGTTCTTATTCCTCTCGCTGTAGATTAGTTCTACCAGTTCTTGAATTTAGCTGGAATCAGACAATATAGGGGCTTCTGTTTCTGATTTATTTTGCTCAACACTGAATTTGTGAGATGCAGCTACGATGTTGCGTGTAGTAATCTCTCATTCTCTCCCACTGCTGAGTTATCCGTTGTGAGAATTCATCTCTGAGCTTAATGAGACTTAACCGTGCTACGATGGCATCCCCCCCTCTGTTTCCCGTTGGTCTTGGATGCTCTGCAGCTGCTGTAGTCCGTTACCCAGACCTGAAACCAAATTTGAACCATACCAATTTAGACCTCTCCACCAAGCTCTTGACCTTTCTGACCCCCTATTTCACCAGTTTCCAGAAAGTTTGCAGGCTTACAAAGAAAGTCAGTTTGACTGACAACATCACAGTGTTTTTAAAAGTTAATTTGTGACAAAGCAGTGCATGTTCTCTCCTTTAAACAGGAAGTTCTAATGGACATCTAACTTATTGTATGTATATAATATATATGATTAATTCAGAGCAGTGACTGAGGAAATGCCACTGCAAAGCCAGGCATAGTTCCACACACCCGTGATCTCAGCACTGGAGAAACTGAGACCGGAGAATTAAAAAGCCTAGGTTACACAGCAAGACTGTCTTTTTAAAAGGTTACTGCAAGACGTATGCAATGTAAGATGTGAAAAAGCTCTCACAACAGGGTGTGAGAAAAGGCTAAGGCCATTCTGTATCGGGTCCCACATTCGTGAACAAAACAGAAGCAAAGTCTTTCTTATATTTTAGTGAAAGGTAAGATGCAGGCTTTTTTCCCATGGGAATGAATACGCTTCTTGAGTTCTTTGGGCTCCAAGAGGGCATCTTCTTTTATCCTTTACCAGCACAATGGAACCAGTGCCTCTTTCTGAGGGGTGTTAGTGACACACAGTATAAAGCTGGCACATGGTGGGCACCTAGTCAATGTAACTTTGCCTCTTCCTTTCTTCCATGATTTCAAACATTCCTAGCTCACACTTTAGGAAAAAGTAAGATAGTAATCTCTTAAGACTCAGGAAGAAATAATTGTCTGGTTCTTGTGTGAATTCCAATTTGTGCTTTATATTTAAAGCATACTCCGATGGAAAGGTTTGGGTGTTCATCCTCCAGTGAACTAGCATATTCTCATGGGGGACAATCCACCTGTGAGCAGGCATTCTCCCATAGGTGAGCATCCTTCCACTGATGAGCATTCTCTATAAATGAGCATTCCCCCATGGATGAACATTCCCCCTAGATGAACAGTCATTGGTGAACATCCTCCGTGGATGAACATCTTCCTTGATTGAGCATCCTCCCTGAATAAGCATCCTCCTTGATTGAGCACCCTCCTTGGTTGAGCATCCTTCCATGGATGAGTGTCCTCCCATAGATGAACATCCTCCCTGGATGAGCATCCTCCCTGGATGAGCATCCTCACTGTCTACTCACTGAGTCCAAGAAAGTGGCATAAAACACATCCTTGCAGAACCCCCACACTTTCCCCATGAGCCATTCCATTATCTCATAAAGCATCACTTCAGTCCATACTGAATAGGAAAGCAAAGACTCACACCAGGACCCATGGTCATCTAAAAGCACAAGCTCCAAGTGATTTTATCGATACATGTATCAGGTAAATGCATTAAAGCCAGCCTCAGAGGCACCAAAATGCATCGGTGTTTAAGGGAAGAAAAGTTAGCACTTCCCCCTTGGATTGATTTGACCAAGAGCAAGCCCAAGTTTGAATTCTCCATTTCTCTCCCTGTGTCTTTCATCTGTCTGCCAATATAGTTACTGGCTTGTCTGTGTTTGTGTCTGTGTCCTGTGTCTGTGACCATCACTATTGCTGTGTGGGTACCTATGCCTGTGTGCTGCCTAAGTGTCCCTAGCAAAGGACTTTGGTCTGTATTCATTAATCAGCATCACATGAGGAAGGGATGAGGAATGCTTTATAGAAATCTTTAACAGCTTTGCAGGGGATTAAGTTATTTGCTTCAACTGACCCTAAAGCATTCAATACTGCAAGCATGCCTCTATCAAATATCTCTATGCTGCTTCCAACATTTATTGCAGATATTTGTTGTATAAGGTTGCTTTTGGCCTGTTTGCTGTTTTCAACAAATGATTATCATAACATATGTGCATTGCTCTCTGGACCAGATAATTTAAGATTTAAGATAATTTAAGATGGATAATTTAAGATTGAAGCTATCCATTAGCTTAAGCTGTAAAAGCAGATTACATGGGAAATCTAAGACAAGTAAGATTAGTTGTTATACTGTTCTCTTAAAAGTAAGTTAAACAGGCTGAGTACACAGCAAAATATCAGGCTAAATCTTAAGTGACCTCAAGTTGTATTCTTAACTTGGCTGTAAGGTCCGGTAAAAAAAAAAAAAAAAAAAAATTCTAGTCTCTTAGAATATAAGAGATAAAAATGGCTACTCTAAAGAGTTTCTGGAAGCTTTTACATATATTGTATGTAGCCAATATTACCCTGGGAGATGTGTTCTATCACTGTTACCTTTTACAGATGAGGAGGCTGAGATGCAGAAGGCAGGAGAAATACGGTCAAGGTCAAGGGAGACCAAACCAGGACTAAAGGAAAGGGCAAGGCCCAGGCTCTTTTCACTATATGACTCTGACCTTAATTCATTGACCAAATGACCTACCATGTTCTCGGACCCTATATCCGGCTCTGTGGCAGTCCTGCTGGGAGCTCAGTGGTGTCTTTATAAGTCAGGGACTGGCAAAGGTTGAGGGCATGCTGATGGTCACCTAGCTACTGAGTGGCTAAGACTGGATTTGAATGGAGGCCATATGGTCCCTTCTGTTTCTCAGTGAGTCTGCACTGAAGGGGGTGATTCCTGGGGGGAGGGGGTTTCCAATACATCTCCTGAAGACTTGAAAAGCTACCTATGGAGTGGTTCCTCCCTGCACACACACCCCAAAAAAGCCATAACTGCCATTGTTGATACTTTGTCACTGTGGCTCATCCAGTGTCCTCTGGAAGTAACTGAACAGAGAGCGCTGGGACACAAGACTGCCTAGGTTACTTAGGGCTCAACCCTACTCAGCAGAACTACCTGTACCTGAAGACAGTTACAGAAGCCTTGACTAGTGTGTCTCTTGGTAAAGTTTAAAAGAATTTCTTGAGAAATTTGGAGGCTGTGAGGCTTTATGGGTAGTGACATGTTTTCTAGCTGCACCATCCAAAATAATAGTGGATGGCTGCGGAGCACTGGAGTGGGAGAGCTGAGTGACTACAGTTTCTATTTGATTTGATTCCACGTAGTTTATGCAGAGGTAGCCACCAGCAGATAGTGGCTAGTGTCGGCACCAAGACTCATCTACAGTTCTCCTTGGCCGGAGAGTTGCGGAACAGGGCAAACAGAATGGGAAATGGCAATTTAATAAGATCAGCAACACGCAGAGTGTCAAGAACTCGAGGCTAGGAGCATGCCTGGCCAGTCCATGTTACAGCCTTGGACTTGTGCTTCTGTTGCTGGAGAGCCACTATCCAGTCCTCACACACAGACAGCATAGCATCATGGTCTCAGAGAACTCAGAGGCTGGACAGGAGAGCTTGGTGGGCAGCGTAGGGTTGACCATGCCCTCTTGACAGAGAAGGCCCTGACGACCTGGACTCACACTTGGCAAGGAGCTTTGATGGAGGAATGAACAGCCTCCACAACTGCCACTTCCCACGACACTCAGGCTGCACACAAACAGCTCATAAGGCAGAGAGAGCACTAAGAGCGGTGATTGTCAGGTATATGGGTTTCCTTGGCATTTATCTTCCCAGAGAAGGAGTCAATTTGAAAAGCAATTTTCTAAAGAACTTTATCAAGAGACTCAGTGAAGGGTGCTCAAGGAGGATCAAAGGGAAAAGAAAACCGGCTGTGACCAGCTGTGCCAGCCATGTGCAAAGGACAGAATGAACTCGGCTGCCCGGTCACCTGTGCAGAGGGGAGCA